AACTTTATCAGCTCAAAAGGTCTGAGAAAATGCAAGGCTTCGTGCTATTGGACTAAAAGAAAGTTTAGAAGTGAGAAGAATGGGCAGTATCAAAGTGTGGTGAAGAATGATATGTGGCAGTTATGTGTGTCTATACAAGTATTTCTTATTGCCATTTGTTCAGCCACAGTTTGAAGTTACAATGGCACTGAATGAAGCAAACTTAGAAGTAACATTCAAGATATAGCCATTGTAATACTTCCATGGTCACATGATCAAGTTCAGCCCACTCACATTTATGACTAGTATTGACTACAGGGATGCTTCAGCTCCTTCCACCTGCCTGTCTTTCCCCCCATGCCTGCCCTTTTGGATGCTCTGCATAGATGCATTTTCTATGGTGGTGGCCCAGGGCCCTCAGAAATCTCAGCCACCACCCACGCCTCTACTTCAATTCCAGTTCAACCAACTCTACTGCTGAGGACCTCTGCTTCAAGCCCTCACACATAGCCACTCCATGCCATAGCACAAAGCCCCAGCTGCCCCACAGTTCTGCAGGCACTGCTGTGCCCAGAGATAGATGATTAACCTTTAGCTTTCTCAACTTTCTAGAACAGAAGACTCCAAACTTGACAACTTTAAAACTAGTGGATTTCCACTCCCAGAATTCCTCAGCTAGCTAATTCTGGGAGTGGAAGTCCACAAGTCTTAAAAGTTGCTAAGTTGGAGACCCCTGTTCTAGAATAATTATACTAATATCATGGCATTTTAGCTAAGGTTTGTTGAAGAAGCCAAAAGGATTGGGGTTTACGTATAGCACCAAACAAGAAACTATGGTTTGTAAATGACAGAACTGGTTTTATAGGTATGCTATTCCAATGCTAGATAAATGATATGAGTGCTCAAATATGTATTTGGTAACTTAGGTAACCAGTATAGAATTGGTGAACTTTGTCACATAGCAATTAATCCTGTAGGGAATTTTAGGACTGGGTTTAATGGATCAATTGACAGCTAAGGTTTCGAGGTTACTGGATGGTTAATTAGAATATAAGGACTTAATGAAGTTTGTTACTATTTACTGAAACAAGTTACGCAAGATGCTTGACATCAAATCTTCCTTTTCATCTTCTTCTAATTCCTTACTAACAATATATTACTAATGATATACATTGATTGCTCTTCTATGATCAGAGCACTGAACTGATGGAACAACTCCATATATAAACTGGTTCAAGGCATATTGGTGTTTTAGAACACTTTTAAATTTAATATGAGGTATGGTTTCTATGTGTATTTTATAGATTAGCATCATCTGCCAATCGGTCCATTGTGGCTTAGACAACAAATTATGATTAATGAAATGATAGATAGGCATACTGTGTAAACATAACCACAGAATATAAGTAAACAAAGGTGTTTGACATTTGATTAAAATGATTCTAAGATACTCTTGTGTTTGTGATGTTTGTTCACATGTTGAAATGACTTCCATGGGTCATATATCAAACATTTTACTTCCACAATCCTATGCTCTTTCTAGTAGTAGTCAAGCTATCTTTTGGGTTTTTTGATTTTTTTTTTTAATGAAAAAGTGAAATTCTTTAATAATTGGATCCTGGAAAAAGAACTTTTGCCAGTTGAGCAATCCTATTAGTAAAGATTGCCATCTAAAGCAGAGAATCATGTTTAAAAATAATACTGAGTAATAATAAAAGGCATTGCTTAACTTATTAATATTTATTGCATTTTTATGCAAAAAGGATTCATGGAAATACCAAAAGTGAATATATGTGGGTGTGTTTATGTATTCATTATTATTTATTACTTTGCAATCATTACTTGATTAAGCTGTTTATGCCTCACTTTTATATCCTGCTGTTTGGGTTGAATTGCTGTCTGAACAATTTACAAAATAAAAACAAAACAAAATCTGTCTGCCTCAAAAGTTATAAGGTAAATTAGACTTTAAATAATTCTCCCCAAAGAAGGAAAATAAATCAGGGGAAGAGAAAAGAAAAGAGTACCTAGAGAATGAATTTAGCTTTGGGCTTCTCATGCATTAGGATTTTGTTGAATATATTGAAGCTTGGAATGGCCTAATTAGTTCCCCAAAGTTACTGTTGTGATGGGAGTTGGCAAGGAAAGGAATCAGTGCTCAGTTCTTCTTGTAAGGATCTACTGAAGCTCTCCACTGGGTGCAGAGGTGGGGTTTTCTTTTTTTGGCAGTGAGCTTCATTTCTAGCATTGCTGTTCCAGCCCAGAATCTTTCCTGCATAGGCTTTTCTTATAGCTGTCATCCAAAACCATAAGCAAAAGATGATTGTTTCATCTGGATGAAGAAATGTTTAAAGTAGAAAGTGCTATTGTTATTCAGATGTTATTACCATCAGATGTCAATGAAGCACAGCTGTCATTGTCCCTGTCTGCTCACTGATCCATTTAGAAGTGATGAGAGTTTAGAATTCAGCAGTATTATTACCTAAATGTTGGTTGTGGGTTCTCCACCCCTGTGCTAAAGAGCAGACTGCCTTCTCTTATAGTATGCTTCTTAATTGTTCATTAAGAGCATTATTTTCCATTTTGGATGGAAAATAGATGCCTGGTGTCCCCTAGACTTGAAATCATAAAATGTATGAGCTGGAAAGTACTATAAGTCATATAGTTTAATCATCTGCTGCAGGAATCCACTGAATCCACTTATTTTGGCCACACCATATGGGGGAATTCACCAGAGAAAGCAATTGTGTTGGGAAGACTTAGAGGTAAAAGGAAACCAGGCCATCAAAGAACATGATGGCTAAACACTATCAAATCAGACACCATAGAACAACTCAAAAAAGTAGTGTGTTGGTTCAGTTCCAAGGCACTAGAGACAAAATGGAGGCTGGAGGCTGATTGGAAAGATTGATTGATGCAGAGCCATCAAGCACATGGTTCTGGTGCAGCTGACTACATGGAGTTGAGAATGAGGGGTTTTTATGCCTTCTTTTGGGCTTTGCACTTGAGCTTCCTGTTCCTGTGCAAGAAAATGTAGGGGTCACGGCTGGCTCTATAGGTTGTCTGAGCTCCCAGATTTAGCTGAAGTTTGAACTGCTGAAATGATGCAATGAATGCTTGTGTTAGGCAATTCCTGTTGTGGCTGGAGGCTAATCCTACCTTTGTTGGATCTTGGGTGAGGGTATTTGCTTATGAATAGAGCTACCTAGATCTCAGTAAGCTCTTTATCCCTTAAGTGCTGACATCTGTGGGCTATTAAGAAAAGTGGGGGCTGCTTTCTCCCTCTAAAAAAGACATGTTTCTCAATTTCTCATCCAGGGAAATAATATACTGCTTTTTTAATATTTCTCAAAATAATTCATTCCTCTAAGAGAGGGGTGGGTGCTAACTTTCTACAAGTGCAAGATTGGAAGATCAGCCCTTAGAATTGCCAAGAATCGTACACAACTGAATGGATAACATAATCATCAACATCATGGCCATTTAAAAAACTGTTAGTGAGGGTGGATCTACTACTGATATATTTAACAGCTCTTGCTATCATTAAATTCTTCTTAATATTCAGGCCAAATTTCTTTTATTTTAATTTGAACCCACTAGTCTTTGACCTCCTTTCAGTTCCAACATAGGACAGATCAGCTCCTACCAGCACATTATGACCTTTTCGATATTTGTAGATAAATATCATATATTTTCTTAAACTTTTCTTATTGGATTATGGTTTCTGTCATTTGCAACACAATAATGTGATTGTGTTGGGGATGAACTAAACTGCTGCACACATTAAGGCACCAGTGTGGGAAGGATGGCTCTATAGGACAGGATCATCTCCATTCTACTGCTGTGAAATTCCCTGCCTAGAGGCATGCCTTAAAATCCCACCTGTTGTCTCTTAAATGGCATGTTGAGACAGTTCACATAAGCAATTGGATGTGCATAATGGTTCTCTGGTGATTTATGTTTGTTAGTTGATGTTTTTATGGTTTACTGATTTTTTTAAATGAGGTAATGTATAAAAATTAATGAATAATTTGGCCATTCAATTCTTCAGTTCTGCCTGGACAGCCTGGAGAGAGGGTTGATGCATATAGATTAGAGCAGTATAATCCCAAGGCAAGCAAATGGAAGCTTGTTATTCTGCAGCATTCTTGGTCTTGTGATTGAAAACCCACAGGCTAATTCCTGCTTTTATTTCTAAATTCCTTAAGCAATTAAAGGAAAGGGGAATTTTAAGAACTAGTTAAAAAGAATGTTGACTTTGTGTCTTAATATAATGGATAATGTCAGAATGAGTTTGATTTTCCAAGCACATTTTGAAATAAGCAATATTAATCTTAAACTTCTGTTTGATAAAAGTAAAAGAAGTGAACCAAAGCAAAGAAGAAACAGAAATCTAACAAATGATTTCAGTGTTTTGTTTCAGCAGAGACGGAAATCTAACTTTGATATCACATTTTTGGGATATCAATCCCAAAAATTAATCCTAAGAAGAGGTGAGATATCCAGATATTTCTAAATGTTATCCTCTATCTTTGTGGAAGATGTAATTAAGGGAATTATCTCTCTGGGAACAAATTAAGAGGACTTTCTGACTGCCTGTTAAGAGCTTCAGGGTTTAAAGCATTTTAGCCCAGTAAAACACAGGAATTTGATAGCTCTTTCTTAGTAATTAGTTTGTATGAGCTCTCCACAAATTATCAGTCTTCAGAATTTGCTTCTCTTGAAAAGATTAACAGTTTGTTTTTGAGAACTCTTAAGAAATTTTTTTGGTCAGGAGGTACAGAAAATCTGTTCTGTTTATGAACACTAGTTTACATTCTGATAGAGACATATATTATACTTGAATTATGAGAGTCATAGCTTGAAAATCATATTCTAAAATGTTGCCTCATGTCTCCATATTCACATGAACCTCTTTTTTTCCCCCTTGATATCTTTTCCTGGAAGAAATTTTTTGACTGGTATGCTATTGCATAAAACTGAGAATGATATTTAAATTTCTTAACTGTGTTATTTTCTAGATGAACACAAAGATGTACAAAAGAAAACCTTCACCAAGTGGATAAATACTCGTTTTTTGAAGGTAAGGATGGCTCACAAGGGCTATTTTTGAATCTATAGTCTTCCAGATGTATTGAACTTCTGTGTGAGAGCATCAGGTTGAAAAACACTAGCTTAAGTTATGTTCAGTAAAACATAGCGTCTTCCGTTATGTGTTGGATTAAAATATGTTCCAATTCTAGGTCCCCAGCAATATTTGTTTTGCTCTTTCCCTATTTCTCTCCTTGAAGGGCTTTGTATTTGCTGCAACCTAATTGTGCTAATCACCCTTTAAAATGGCAATTTTCTTTGCCACCGAGTTCCTTCTTTCCCTGCTCAGCTCCAGTTTGCAGGATTTGGTTAATGCATAACTTTTTGAAATACCTTTCATTCTAAAGGGCCCAGTAATAGACTGTGTACTTTATATGTTTCTTGAAAGCTGCCTGTGTTAGCAGAACCTTCTCCAGAGATTCTGACCTTTCTGGAAACAAATGTTTGATTCATTGTCTTTTAAAAGCCGTATACAGAAATTCTACTGTCCTTTTCAGAGCAGTATGGCATTGTCAGCAGTGTTGTTGCCAATGTCAGAAATGCAATTCCAAAGTAAATCTTTTGCTTTTTCCAGCAATGAACAAAGTTATTACATATCCAGTGATGTGAGTATGGGTGCTCAATATGACCTTTGGCCCAATGGAAGATCTCAGTTAAATGCAAGGTTCGGTAACTTGTATAGGATGTTCCTTTGGAGATTTGGCTGTATCTGTATGAATTGACCTTATTGACCTCCTCTGCTGCAGGGGTGTCAAACTCGATTTCATTGAGGGCCGCATCAGGGTTGTGTTTGTGTTTGACCTTGGAGGGCCAGGGTGAACATGGCCAGGGATGGGCATGGCCATGGTGGGCCTGACACAGGACTCGTGTCAGGGGCACCTGTGGTGGCCAGGTGCTAAGGACTTCCCTGAGACCCTCCCTCACTCTCATTACAATCTTCCTTTCTTCCTTTTTTTATTTTTCCTTTTTCCTTCCCTCTTCATTCTCCTTTCTTCTTCCTTCCCTTCTTTCCTTATTTTTCTTCCTTGCTCTCCTCCGATCTTCCGTTCTTTTTCTTTACTTTCCCCTTTTCCCTTTCTACTTTCCGATCAGCTGAGAGGCTCTGTTATCGCCGATGCGATCTTTACGATCGTGGCGGCCGAAATCGCCGAGGGAAGACTGTGGGGGAGGATCAAGGGTTACTCCCTACTTACAGCCTCCCTTGGTTGAATCCTCGGCCCAATTCTGGTTGTAAGTCAAGGACTACCTGTAGTATTAGCAATAAATATTTCTTCCTCCCCTTCTGCACATGTAGTGAGCTGTACTTATCGAGCAGTTTATTGGATGACAGAGTAAATAGCAGCTGCTCTCTCAGTTCCTATAACCACAGTAGATACTCAACAAATAATTTGCAAAATTTCTTTGGGTCTCCTCTGAATGTATCACTTTGCTGTTCCTTAAAGCACAAATGTATTTGTTCAGGCTTCTAGGTAGGTCTGAAGAAGAAAATATCCCAGTGCAGAAGTATTTCTTTTTAGGCATAGGCAGGAGAGAAAAACTCTTTTAAGTACACAGTGAGCAATTTTATTAACTTATCTAATTAAGTTGTTTAAAGTGTAATTAAGTAGGAATTAAATGACATTTAGTTTATATGCTGGTCCGTCTGCTTCTCTGTCTTCCTGTTGGAATTTAGCTTTGGCCCATCAGTCAAAGGCCAGGTGCAGCTCTCAGCTGGAGATAGTGCACACCTCTGTTTTAATGCTGCTTAATATTCCTCAACAGCGAGGACACCAGGGCATGATTTGACAGCAGGAATGCCGGGTCTGCTGCTGTGCAGAAAACCTAGGTTAGCACCTTTTGAAATAACTGAAATAAAACATGGACGACCACCCAAAAAGCTTCTTCGTTCTATTCGCTGTTAAAAGATAGTTTAACTTGGATTAAACTCAAATCATAACTCACAATTCAACAATTAATAGTGTGTAAATGGATTGCAGTGCCCAAGCTGCTTGGGGATGTTCAGCCTTCAACCCGTTTTCTTGTTTGTTTCGTCAGTTAGAAAAAAATAGTTTGATTCTGCTCATAATTTGCATGATTTCGCAGAAAGGGAAAGATATCCAGAAGTAGCTTGTATGGAGGAGCATATGGATGTCTTTCTTTGAGCTATTTAGAACTGAGGTTTCTCTATAAAATGTCAAAATTATGATGGATAAAATGAAGAAACACAGGACACACATAATCTTGATTAGATACTGTGTTAATGTGATTCTGAGAGCTTTGATTTCACTTGGATAGTCTTTGAAAATCAGGTTGCTTTCAGTTATGGTTTAAACTTGAAACAGTATTTTGGAAGACAAGTCTGTTTTTCCTTACTTAGCATCATGGGAGTAAATATAGTTGTTGCTATTCATTTCTGTTTTAGAAATAATCTATTATATATGAGTTTTGCTGTACTGTCATTAAAATGAATAAATAAACTAACTGAACTATTTTTTGTTTTGTTTTTTGTCACAAGTATATCAAAGAGCAAATATCCAGCTTCTCCCAAAGCCTCAACAACATTTAATTTGTTGCTTTCTTGAATAAGTGGAATGCAAACAGGAATTCAAGCAGAAAAATAAACAGATAGAAAGCCACAATAAAGTTCATTCTCGTTTAAGATGGTGCACTAAATTTAGATGCTGGCAAAATGCACTGTATTTTATTTACTGAAACCACTCTTCTCTTGTGTAGTGACCTTTCTGCTTTGTGAATCGTTTCCCACATCAAATTCTCATGCTTTGGGTACATCAAATGGAAAATCTTGACACAGATATCAAAGTACCATATTTAGATTACAGAACATGAATTAGAAATTAGTTTTCTATCTATGTACTGGAAATCTTTCCTCTCCTGAATAGTAAATAGCCAGAAAGTTTAATAAGTTGATAAGAAGTTAATGTAATTAAGAGTTAAAGTGACTCCATACTTCCCCCTTTTTAATATGCTTGAGTACATACAGTCTTTCTAGCCTTTTTTTTTTCTTTTTTGGTGCCATTAGGGAACAGGACTAATTGCCTGTATTGTTGAATAGAATGGTTGTTTCCAGTTCATGAACATAGTTTAGGATCAAAAACTTAGAGGTTCCTAGTACTACTTAATATCCAAGATCCTATTGGTTCATGACTGCTATCTTCAAACAAGTTCCCTAAGCACTTTTATACAGTTCCATCACTCAGCTCATGTGGCTTGCCTTGGCTATACCCAAGTAGATCTGATACTGAAATTTCTGCCTGAATTGATACCTATTTAATAACGAAAAGAGTTTCAAATTATTTATCACTGATGCTTCCCATAAATAGAACTTTAAAAAAATTATCATCCAAATATAGTTTAAATAATATCCTTCCAGAACTTAGTCATATTTTCTGCACTAAGATATTTTGTAAGCTGATTATCTAAAATTCAGCTATTGAGGGCCTCTGATTTCAAACTGACTTTGCCTTGTGTTAAATTTATTGTTGGGTGACTTAGAAGGAATTAATATATAGAGAAAGGAAAACAAACTGGTGGTAGATTGGAAACACTCAAGCTTAAGCTACACAAAGGGTAGAAGCAAGTGAAAGAGCGTAAGTTATTTGTAATCGACTTTTTCCCAAAAAGAAGAATGCATTCTTTGTGAGTTTTATCTACATAAAGTAGGCTTTTTCAAGCTTGAATCACAATCTTACTGAAGAAGGACGTGCAGCAGAGAACCAAGTTCCTAAATATACTAGTTTTTTTATTGCATAATGTAGCATTTAATATTTCCAGATATAGCTTGCTTAGGTTACAGAGGATGACAATCTGAGATGGGAATGAGGGTTGGGCGGGGGAGGGGGAATATTTGTTTATCTTTTATACCTTATCATTTCATCTCAAACTGGAAACTTTATTTTATGAACAGTTCTAGAGTATGACATTTCCATATTTGGAAATGATACTGCCCAAATTATTCTCTTTTCTCCCTTACAGTCTTTCCATGGCTAAGTTGCAAGGAGGTGCTTTTGATTACAACTTGACTTACAACTGCAATTGAGCCGAAAATTTATGTTGCTAAAAGAGACAGTTGTTTAGTGGATCACTGTAGTTGTTAAGTTGGTAACATGGTAGTTAAGGGAAACCGGCTTCCCCATTAACTTTGTTTGTCAGAAGTTTGCAAGAGGAGATCACATGAGCTAAGGACACTGCAGATAAACAGATAACAGATAATCAGAGTTGGAAGGGACCTTGTAGGTCATCTAGTCCAACCCCCTGCCCAAGCAGGAGACCCTACACCATTTCTGACAAATGGCAGTCCAATCTCTTCTTGAAAGTCTCAAGTGATGGTGCTCCCACAACTTCCGAGGGCAAGCTGTTCCATTGGTTGATTGTTCTCACTGTCAGAAAGCCGTCATAAACATGAGTCAGTTGCCCAGCACCTGAATTTTTATCATGTAATCACGGGGATGCTGTGATGGTTGTAAGCTGAATAATAGTCAAAGTCATTCTTTTTCAGTGCCTTTGTAATTTTCAACAGTCACTAAACAAACTTTTGTCAGTTGAGGACTACCTATATCTACTGCTTCCATACTGGTGTTTCACTTCTGCAGGGGAGAGCTGGATTTCCTTGCTTAAAAGACTAGTTTTTCATTATATAGTAGCATTCTACCGGTACCTATTATAGGTATTCTGGTGGCATAATGTATTTAAAACGAATCCCTTAAAGCATTTCCTTGCAAAGGGTCAGAGGATCGAACTCACAGCCTCCGGATTGTGAGGTGAGAGCTGCACAATCTGGAGCTCTTGCCTCACAATTATGGTGCTGTGGCGTAGAGGTGGAGCTCTTGCCTCACAATCCGGAGGCTGTGAGTTTGATCCCAGGCAGATATTTCTCTCTCTGGGCACGATAAGAATATATATATATATATATATCTGCTGAATATAACTCTGCATTGGTGACAGGAAGGGCATCTGGCCACTAATCACTCAGCTCCATTCAGTTGCCTAGGCTCCACCCCACAAGATATTATAGGGTCATTTAAAGATGATGATTTTCTTGCAAGAGAAACCTCTGATTTTCTGTCTCATTCCTGGGGTATAAACTTTCTTGTGGTGCTATTCCTTTCCGTCTAAGAGAATAGGAATGTGTGGAAAAAACAGAGCACAGCCTGTTATAACAATCATACTAAGAAATCTGGAATGCTATAACGTGTGTAGGCAATATTATTTATAATAGTATTTCAAGATGACATCTGGCTACAGTTTGTCTTTTTATTTGTTTATGTTGTATTTTGGAGTCAGAAATTATTTTTAAAAAATTATTTATCTTATTTTATAGTTTGGAAAACATCCAATAAAGGATATATTCACAGATCTTCGAGATGGGAGGAAACTCTTAGATCTTTTAGAAGGGCTAACAGGGAACCCACTGGTAAGTGCTAATTGCCATTATTATCACCATCTGGAAAAGATAATTTAAAATACTATGCCTTTGCTTATTTACAATATCAGAATTTTGGAATAGAATATTAGGGAATTCTGGGTGTTGAAGTCCACACATCTTAAAGTTATCAAGGTTGAATAACACTTGTCTATATTGCCCAGTGACACTTAGTTTAGCTAATTTTAGTATCCTCAGCAGGAAGCAAAATGAAATGTCAAGGTTTTGAACCTATTTTTCTGACTGTTGGAAATAGAAGTCTATTCACACTGAATTTAGTTAATTAACAAGAGGATTGATACACATGGTTTGTAAATTCTGTTTCAACACCAGTTTTCAAGTTTTAAACAAAATTGTAAAATATGCTTTGCTAAACTCAGGCTTCAAGAGAGGAAAAGAATGCACATAATTAAAGTTTGCTACAGTGTGTTTTGTACAGTATTGCTCTTAAAATGTTTTGACATGTTGCCAAAATAATGCATACTACTACAGGGTGTTGCACTCCTGCTACTTGGATAAAGGAAAAGGAGTAAATGTTCCAAAATCTGCATCATTGCTTTAATTGTGCTTTTCCTGAAAAGTTAATTGTAACATTTATTATTATTTGCATTTTTTTTTTACAAGTTAAAAGAACGTGGAACTACTAGAGTCCATGCTTTGAATAATGTCAACAAAGTCCTTCAGGTTTTACATCAGAACAATGTAAGTTTCTAAATCTCTGTTTCCTTGAAACTTGAGGGGAAAAGATAATTGTCAAATTGTTTTCTGAAAACTCTGTCTTTGAGTAGGGATAGGTGGACTAAAATTTTATACAACTTAACACGCCTCCTTTCAATTCTCCTAGTTGCTTGTACTTTGCAGATAACGAAGTGTGCTATATGGCATGATCATTTACTGTAAGAAGTGACCTTGTATTTCTTGTTCTTGGAGATCCTAAGGGGCTATAGATGGAAAGTATGAATATTTATTTTGTGTGGCTGGGCCAAATTGTAATTTTGTTGGTATAGACTTCAGTCTGTTCTCAGGTTATCCAATTAAATATTGCCTACTCTTAGACTTGGATACTAGCTTGACTCCCATTTGCCGAATTAAACACAATCACAGCACATGTCTTTCCTGATGCCTGTATTATTATTATTTTTACTTTGTACATTCTCCAGAATCTGGCCCTAGAATTGAAAGCTCCTTCAGATTGATCTATGATATATCTTTGTGTAGGAGGAAAGAGAGTTGGAGCTGGCAGGTTCAGCTTCTTGAAAATGACCTTTTCCTTGTAACATGACAAATCATTTCTTTTCCCCAAAAGTTATTTTTGTTATTAAAAACGATAGAAGGTTAATCCGGGCTCCCATGCAATTGTCGTTTAGGAAAAAGCTCTGCTTTGGGAATGAGCTGGTAACATTAAGAAACTAAAAGTGGTCAAGTTACATTAAAAGATTTATGGTAGTGACTCAGTAATAGAACTTTTTTTAATGGGAAAATGTAAAACCTTTATTTTCTTATTAATGATAAGTACGCTGTGGTTGCAGCAATAACTTTGGAAATATTTGCAATGGAAAGGTTGCATTGATAGCATCAGAACTTTTATTTTGCAAAAAATGAAAGATTAGGAATTTAATATAGATTATTTGTTTGTTTGTTTATTTATTTATAAAAATGTATATGGCCACCCAGTTCACTCTCTGTGACACAGGATGGCTTAGAAGAATAAAACCCCAATACAAAAAGCAACACCACCACTTCACAACCCTACTAGGGACAACAATCAGAAAAGCCACAATGGGCTCCTTATCACTCTGGAATATCCAAGTTTGTTGGCAGAACTTTGTATTCAGAGCTTGTGAAAAAGTGCCAAGTGAGGGCCAATCTTACTTCTTCAGGGATGATGTTCCCACAGGTAGGAAGCCACCATAGAGAAGGCCTTTCTTCTTTATCCTGCTAGATGATCCTCCTTAAGAGGGGAGACCCTTAGGATTCTCAGCCTCCTTACTCTTGTAGGTCAGGTATATATGATTGGAACAAGATGGTCCTTCAAATACTCTGATCACAAGCCGTGTAGGACTTTGAAGGTGACAACCAGCACCTTAAATTGGACCTGAAAGCAAATCAGCAGCCAGTCCAGCTTCCGCAGGAGTGGTGACATGTGCACATTTAAGTCTGCATAAAACCATGTAGACCACCATGTTTTGAGCCAACTGAAGCTTCTGGATACTTTTCAAGGGCTGTCCCATGTAGACCTCATTTCAATAGCCAAGACGGGAGGTGACTAGAGCATAGGTAACTCTGAGTAGGGATTGTTCCAGGAAAGGGTGTAACTTACTCACAACCTGCAGTTGTGCAAAAGCCCTCCTGACACAACTGCCACCTGCTTATATTCTATTCATTAATTATGCCTTTATATTACACACTTTCATCCCCTGCTGGTATAATTTTTAAAAAAGAAAATAAATTCCTGTGAATTGATATCATCATATTGTCAGTATATTAAAATCAGTGCATTATATAGTACTTCATTTTGTCTAAATTGAATTATTCACGTACAATTAAATCATTAAATTACATAGCTGATTCCAGGAATGTGAGAAGCAATAGAATAGAATAGAATAGAATAGAATAGAATAGAATAGAATAGAATAGGATAGAAGAGAAGAGAAGAGAAGAGAAGAGAAGAGAAGAGAAGAGAAGAGAATTCTTTATTGGCCAAGTGTGATTAGACACACAAGGAACTTGTCTTGGTGCAAATGCTTTCAGTGTACATAAAAGAAAAGATACATTCATCAAGAATCATCAGTTACAACACTTAATAATAGTCATAGGGTACAATAAGCAATCAAATCATACTAGGCAATAGTCAATAAAAATTGTTAGGATACAAGTAACAAGGTTACAATCATATAGTCATACGTGGGAGGAGATGGGTGAAAGGAAGGTTGGGAGGATTAATAGTAATAGTAATGCAGACAGTAAATAGTTTGATAGTGTTGAGGGAATTATTTGTTTAGCAGAGTGATGGCGTTTGGGAAAAAACTGTCTTGTTCTGGTGTGCAGTGCTCGATAGTGTCATTTTGAAGTTAGTGGTATCTATGGTGAGAGTTATAGTAGAGTAACAGTTGATAGGCCACTGGGTCTCTGTTCCCCACTTTCTATTAGTTCCTTTAAAGTTTGCATGCCTTTGACTAAGAAGACATTTTCATTGTTTGAAAATATTTCCAGGTGGATCTGGTGAACATCGGAGGGACAGACATTGTTGATGGAAATCACAAACTGACACTTGGATTGTTATGGAGCATAATTTTGCACTGGCAGGTGAGCAGATTTTATGCCTTTTCTCAGCCCATATATGTGACCCATTTCTTTTTGCAGTAAAATGCATTGATGGGTATTGGTTGAGTATTAGCTGGAGATGCTATAGAACTTTCATGACAGCTGACCAACCACTCTTGAATTTCTGGGTACTTGAAGCCAGTATTTCTCAACTTTAGCCACTTTAAGAGGTGTGGACTTGAATTCCACACATTCACAAGGTGGCTGGGGAATTTTGGGAGTTGAAGTCCACACCTCTTAAAGTGGCCAAGGTTCGGAAACACTGCTCTAAGCAACAACTTGAAACATAGTGTGAAACTTCTTGTAGAGTTTTCAGGTCCATCCCTTATGTACTTGTGTGCTACATTGCAAATCCTGTGCTAAAGAGGCAGAATTCACATTGCAACATCATGATGTACGTTTTGTTATTTGCTCCCTTTCTTGCCAGTGCCCGCTGGTGCCCAAGATGCCATGTATAAAAAGATCTTTGTATCCTGTACTAATCTATGGGTTTGTGTTTGAAATGAGTATGGGGTATGAAATTTCTGGGCTTCCTTTTGTATCTTCTTTGTGTGCTATGTTCAGAACAATGATTTCCAGTCTATGGTCTGTAACTACAGTTGGTCCATAATGGATATTACAGATAATTTGTGAGAGGTAGTGAGATCATGTAATAGTAATGTAATTTATATAATGTAATATTTATAAAACAGAACTTATTTTAAAAATTGAGTTAACATCAAGAATTTGCAAGCTAGATTTTGAATTAATAATTTGAATAAACCAGAATTTCCTCCATTTAGACAACTTTGGAAATGCTTGTCTGTCCCTTTGTTTAAATGAAATGTGAAACAACTGCTTTAGATTTCTTTACTTCCCATGTGGAAGGGGTCAGGGAAGATAGATTTTTATATAAGTCTCATATTAGGACTGGAAATATCATTGGAACCTGATTTTATGTATATGATAAAGATGGGATCCATTTAAAGTTATTGCTATAGTTTACCACTGAGACAATTAGAGAATCTCTATCTAAAATTTAGGTATATTGGACAGAACAGAAACAGAACAAAATTTTGATTTGTTAAATCCCAGGTTGCATTTCTAATTTTGGTTTGTAAGTCAATACAGTAATTAACTGTGAAAGAAGGAACTTGAGCTATTTGTCATACCTTATCAGTTCAAGATTAGTTTATACTGGGGGTAGAAAATGTTTTAAATTTGAAACATGCTGTTTTCAGTTCAATAAACTGATCTCATTGGAAGCATTTTTATGTTGTTTTAGAAGTATACTGTGCTCAAAATATTTATGGTATGGATGGAACGTCTCTGAACACTGCTAGTGAGGTCAAAACAACTTGTTGTGAATTCAAAATGGGATGCTTCAAGCTTGATTTGTTTGTGTATGAAACAATTTGCCTGCCTCCAAATTCTACTGCTTTTTCAGTCGATGGCATTCCAAACACTTCTAATGAAATTTAAAAATTCACCTATATTTTAATTATAAGAAACTATCAGATTGTGTTCTAGGCCTTCCTTGTAGAAATATCCAAGAAAGCTATTCAATGTGATTCCATAGCTAAATAATTTGTTACTGGAATACATCTAAGCTTGGGAACCAGAGTAGGATTTTAGGGCAGGTACTACAGTTTTCTTAATGTACAAACCTCATTAGGAGATACAAAGAACTTAGATTAAAGTCTAAAACAGAAGAATTAATATATGGAATAATTAGATAAGAATAATGTTTTGAATCTTCATTTGCTGTGGTATGGCATAATTCAATATCTATTTTTAATATTTAACACTTTGCAGTGTTATTTGAATGCTAAGATTGAGACAATGTTTTTTGAGTCTTTCTAATTCAGGGGTCCCCAAACTTGACAACTTTAAGACTTGTGGACTTCAACTCCCTGGGAGTTGAAATCCACAAGTCTTAAAGTTGCCAAGTTTGAAGACCCCTGTTCTAATTCTTTTTTATTGACCTTGGGCATTTCTTTTTAGGTTAAAGATGTAATGAAAGATATAATGTCAGAATTACAGCAAACCAATAGTGAAAAGATCCTGTTGAGTTGGGTGCGGCAGTCCACAAAATCATATAATGAAGTGAATGTTTTGAATTTCACCACCAGCTGGACAAATGGGCTTGCCTTCAATGCATTGATTCACAAGCATAGGTAGGTGGCTGCTTGCCAGCATCTGTAATATTTTCATACTGGAGGGGAAAAGGTATTTTGCTTCAAATTGGACAATTTTAACAAAACAGTTTCTAGGGATGATAGAAGGAAAGTTACCAGTATAGCATTTTGTTACAGAGCAGAAAACCCGAGTTTTCAATAAATAACCCTTGGAATTGTTTTAAAGTCATTTGGCACAGGTTAGATAGAAAGGAAGCAGAGCATGTTTTCATGGAGTGGTTTCTAATTTGTGTGAGAAGGCAATAAACATAATTTTCTGTGACTTTTTTTTAAAGAACAAACATGGAAAACATGAAGTACAAATACCTGTCTTTCTAGTTTTACATGGAAAGATATAATAAACATTTTCCCTTGAAAATCTGATAATGTAACGATGTGCTAATTGAAGCCTTACACCATCTATTTGCAAAAAGAAATGTATTCCTTTTGAGGGTATATGGATTCATAGGCTTCATTCCTTGTAAATATAATCTGGACTAGGCATCATTGAAACCAGTTGAACAACTCTGAAATTATTCTTAACGGTTGAAACATATTCTGTTTCATATGCAGCATGCAGCTGACTCTGCTTTTCCTTGAAACAAAGGAAGTGCATGGGAACAGGAACAGTACATATTACATATTATATACGTAACATGTGCTTCAACCCCATGTGTAGCTGTTCAGTGCCATCATTTTAGTATTTATGAAAACAACATAGACAATGTTGAATATTACAGAGCCTCATATTATTGGCTCCCCCAAATCTCTCAATTTTGTGTTTTTATATTAAGAGTGAAGAAAGAAAAGCAAATAATGCATCTAGGAAAATCCGTTCTGTTGGAAGGAGGATGGTTATGTAATTTCCCATTGATTCTACAAAATATCAGCAATTGTGTGGAATTTCATGTGTTCATAAGCTATTTACTTGGATTTATTGCTATACGTAATGCATACAAGTGTTTTGATCTATAGTATGAATGAATGTATGTTTTTTTAAAAAATAATAATTTTTCTTTTAATTTTTTTTAGACCTGAGCTCTTCAGCTGGGATAAAGTCACCAAAATGGCTCCACATGAAAGATTAGAACATGCCTTCAACATAGCTAAAAATTACTTGGGAATAGAAAAATTGCTAGACCCTGAAGGTATAAATATTATAATACTGTATAACTGCTATATACTTTCTTTCTGTTAGAGTTAGAGATGAAAGGGGGCAGTGTTGCTCTAGATAAGAAATTAGGGACCCTTTACCTGTGGCGTTATGCAGTTTTGCAGCACAATTGGGTGATTTTAAGAACATTCACAAGAATATACAGCTGAATTTAAGTAGAAAAGTGACTGATTCTTGTTCAGTTTTAATGATTTTTGAATTGTTCTCATATTGACTAGTCCTCTGCATTTATAAAATATAAATGAACAAAATAGCATTTCTCCCTCACAAAATGAAGCAAAATAGTCACATTTACCTTTTATCCATTAATCTCTCTTAAAACACCAATCACTAGCGAAAAGTAGGAAATTATAGTGATATGCCACATTGCTAGTTAAATTATCTTGGCTCCCCAGTGGTCAAAAAAGTTTCAAAATAAATGAAATTGGGACCAAGTCCAAGGATAAATAAGTTTGTCTGCCCTTGTTGTAGGTGTTTAAACATTAATAGTTTGCATATACTGCAGTCACTCATGTTGTGCTTTTTAAAAATTGATTTAAATCCATCTGCTAGCATAATTATGATGGTAAAAACATGGTAATAGAGAAGTGATGGTTTTCAGTTTAGTGGTTCAGGTTTTGTATTTGTTCTGCTGAATTATTATGTTTTGTGGGGGATAGCTATTTTGAGGATATGGACTTGAAGATAATGAGTGTAGTTTTATAGATCTGTCATAACTTTAGCCTGGAAACCTTGCATAGCCATCAAATAAGTATCCCATTTATATGCTCTGTTTTCAGATGTTGCTGTACAGCTTCCTGATAAGAAATCCATTATTATGTATTTGACATCTTTATTTGAGGTCCTTCCTCAGCAAGTTACTTTGGAAGATATTCGAGAAGTAGAGACTCTTCCAAGAAAATATAAAAAGGAATGTGAAGAAGATATACAGGTGGTGCATATTGATGACACTAATTTTTCTTTCACAGTATTGTATTTAGTTTTAAAAATACATGCCTCAAAACAAAATTTTCCAGGACAGCTTACCAGTACTTTACAATCATGACTGGACATTGAAAAATATAAAAGAGTGGGTAAAAATATACAGAACATATTAAATGCAGTAAATATGTATGTGCATGTAATCATATGTAAATTAGTATTCCCTCACAATAATAGCAGCTATAAGAAATGTGGATGTCAATTCCCAGAATACCTAGGAATTGAATTATCTAGGAGTTGAAGTCCACACATCTTAAATTTGCCAAGGTTGAGAAAACTATCCCTTATAATTACATCCTTACTGCTGTTGGACTCAATAAATTCTGAAATAGCAATAGCACTTAGACTTATATACCGCTTCACAGTGCTTTACAGTTCTCCCTAAGGGGCTTACAGAGTCAGCATATTGCCCCCAACAATCTGCGTCCTCATTTTACCAACCTCAGAAGAATGGAAGGCTGAGCCGGTCGGAATCGGCAGCTGGCAGTCAGCAGAAGTAGCATGCAGTACTGAAGGAACACATTGTTTCCTTCTTGTCTTTGTATCATTAACTTACTATAATGTCATATGCAGTTTTTCTCTTGTTACCTTTTCAGATTGGTGTTTATCTTTCCTTTCTTCCAATGAGAATATATTTTCTCTTCCTCTTGATAACCCCTTTGCTTTTTGAAAATTGCTTACTCTCTCAGTTCTCCCTTCGACTGCACATTCATGCTCTCTGATTTCCAGTTCTGTTCTTCCTCTTTGTCATCTACACATATTTATCTTTTCTCCTTTATTTTTACCCATTCTACCTCTTTATCTCTTCTAGAATTGAGCAGAGCTTTGGATTCTCAGCCACAAAAGTGCTTTGGAGCAGAGAGAATGTGCACAAAACATCTGTTGTCAGTTGCTCAAATCCATCTTTTCTCAGTGGAGCAATGAGAAATGGGGGGAGAGTTACTTTAAGGAGTTTGAGGGCGTGCTTAATCTTAAATGCTACATAGCCCTAATAGCTTTCTTTTTCATGTTAATGTTCTCAAGCTTATTCCATCTTTGTCTCTTCTGCTTCTTAGATCTTATAAAAAGATTCTGATCTTTTCAGAATTTTTGTTTTACAGAGCGTCTCCGATTTTTTTCTCAGTGATATTTTTGCAGCAGATCTACAAGTATTTATTTTCTCGTTTGGGCGTTTATTGTATATGTTTGATGTGTTCAATATGTTTGATTAATAATTTTTCAGTTCTTAGTATTTTGGTGCTGCTTGCTATGGTTTCCTCACTGATACTATACTTAAATATCGTTTTACATATTTGCTAGCTGTCCAATATGCCATGCAAGATGACTTATCTGCAGTCTCTCCATGAATACCAGTGTTGCTGTTTACATTAATACACTTCAGATGTTTCCCACCTTGGTGTCTTGCAGATATTTTGGTCTGCACCTCTCCCAAAGTATACAAAGTATTTATCTCAATGTGGGAACAAGATCACGCTAAGTGGTTCCACCCCAGTGTTGCATGTTTTTGCAATCCCCACCCACCCAGTTTTTTGTTATTTCTTGTTTGTGGATAGATAGCAGCAGTCACAGTACATGGTGTGCAGTCAGTATTGAGAGCAGAACAAACAATCATGTTTGGGAAGGTACTTGGTATAAAGCTTTTACAGGTTTACTATTAAGCCCTCATGTTTTGTTTTCCAGAGATAGCAAATCAATGACTTCCTGTATGTACTTAATTTTTTCCTTCCCTCTTTTGTTACTGTTTGTTTTTTTCCTCTACCTCATCACATTTCTTCAAAATGTTTTTCTTCTTCACCCTGCTCAGCTTTTTCAACACCACTTTGTCCTACTGCAGTAAAGTTGCTGTTTACCTTCTTCCTTTCATATTTTTATAGCATATTTTTATTCCACCCTAAATTTTTGATTTCTTCAGCATTAGTGCATCCTCTTATTTCCAGTCTTGATTATTGTGACTTTCTTTTAGTTGTCACAGTAAATGGGTCATCTTAATTCTCTCAGACCACTTTTCTGTATCTGAAATGTAGCTACTTGTAATCTTCTCTTTGTGGCAGCGATTTGTGCCATTCTTGTCACTGACTTCTTTTTTCCCTTTTTAAGAAAAAAAAATTTCTTTTAACTTTGCATTACATGATCTTCTACAGTTGAATGTATTGAAATTTTGCTAGCTGTTCCCTGTATATAATAGGCATGGGCTACCTGAGGACACTCTAGTAAGCCTTCAAACATGTTTTGCAATTTCCAAAATCCACTTTGCCATTGCATAGCTAAAATTAGATGACACCAAACTTTTTGTGAAGTAATTTTATGACTATTTCCTATTACAAATAGAAAAATAAAAGGTGTTAAACTTTTGGATTGACTTAGTGCAGTATTTCTCACTGTAATTTTTAAGTTGTTTGGACTTCAATTTCTAGAAGTCCCCAGTTTAAGACTTTATATCTTAAAAAAATTTCAGACAGAGAAACCCAGCTTAGTGCATGCTAAATGGTCAACTGCTTGAACCTTCTCTCCTTTGTAAAAAGTTGTTAACAATGTTTATTTACCTGTATATTGTAATGAAATTATCAGATTATAATACATAATAAGGAGAGTCCACCATATCTTTTTATTGCAAATAAGAAACTTTGAACGATAAAGATTCTGTCCAGGCATTTTGCTGTGGTATTTAAAGTACAGTGCAGCCATATATTTTCTTAAAAAATAAGTGCGTTGGAAATTATATACCGTAATTGTACACACAGTAAATTTTTGATGCACACAAATGTACTGAATTGTTTTTTTCTACTTTGTTTTGAGAAGTTGCTAAAGTTAGAAATTAAGCCTGTTAGCTTGGATGTTTTTGCATTTGATGTTCCAGTTCATTTTAAAAGGAGCTAATCAGATTCTTGATTGTGACTTAAACATATAAGTTTAAAAATTTGGAAAGGCAAGGGAGAATGAAAATCTCAAAGCTGTTTGACTTCATAATTATTAACGAGTAAATGGAGGATGAAACGATTCAGATTTATAGTGTAGTTCAAAGAGCTTTGGGGGGGGGGGGGTCTAAACAACTCCATTATTTTTAAAGCAATAATTTTGAGATTGCAAATGGGCAAACCAGACCTATTTAGTCACAGCACTATAATAATGCTGGGTATTTTGTAAATAACAAACACAAATTAATGACATTCTTGGAAGTATATTTATCATTTACTTGTTTTCCTAGTGACTAACAAATTATAAACAAAGTTTCTATTGCCACATGCTAACATCTTGCTTCTTGTTAGACTGGTTGAAAAACATTCAGTGTGTGTACTATTTAAAGTGTTTGAAATATTTGAAGGGATTTTTGCCAGGCACCTGTCAGAGATCCTAGCTGATAACAGGTTTGCGGTTACATACCATGCTTGGGCATCCGGAAACTTGACTTATGGTAGACATTCGTACTTGAAATAGATAGGATATTTTTTTTACAGATGAAGTCTCTACATCTTAGAAGTACTTATAAAATATATTGAGCTGTGATATCAATTTTCAGTGTGAGCTACACAGAACATTGCTCTTATGAATGACTCTTAAATAGTGTTTCTCACCAGCAGTTTTAGAACACCGAGTTACATTTGCTTTCAAATTTATACAGATAGGGTTTTATTTAAAATAAAGGATTTCTTCATGGATTTGTGAGGGCAGATATGTATACTGTCAGCAAAGGACAACAACCATGTTATTATGTCCCCCAACATGCTTTTTTCAAGAGGCAACTGGATTTTCTTTGTTTTTCCTGGAAGATGATTCTTGAATTTCAGTTCTGAACTGAAGAAGCTTTTTGGATGAGAAGTGAAACATCTTCAAGGAAAAGCAAAGAAAACACAGTTACCTCTAGAAAAAAGCACCTTTGGAATCACCATGACCTGGCTGACTGAGAATCTCCATAAATGGTCATAACAATAGCACCAATCTATTTGGTTTCTAGTTAATTATGCTGAACGTCTAAGATGCTTCTCTCCCTCACTAAATATTCTGCATGTGGTTACTGCTCTCCCATAAGAGTATCTTATTACAAAAGCATTCTTTCCCCCCTAAGAAGATACAAATAGCATAATGCTTTAATCTACCACCAAACTACTTTTGTATTTATATACTGTTAAGTAAGTTGTTCCTATATGGAGGAACAACTGTGTTGGAAAATAATTTTGTGAAAAGAGGCCTTCAGTTTGATTTTTCTACTTGCAGTATGCAACTTCTGAAGGTAACTTTGCAGTTCTGAAAGCAGAAGCATCCAGCACCTTGACTGAAGTGGATATGGACTTGGACAGCTACCAGATAGCTCTGGAGGAAGTTCTCACTTGGCTGCTCTCTGCAGAAGATGCCCTCCACGAGCAGGAAGTCATATCTGATGATGTTGAGGAAGTCAAGAGACAATTTACTACACATGAAGTAAGTGGCTGGGAATGATGGGCAACTAGATGTGGATTTTTTAAATTAAATAAGCAATTAAGTTCTCGTAATATTTTATTTTGTTATATTTACAAGGTTATACAAGTATAGAGATGGCAAAAAACAAAAGTCCTGGCCACTTAAATATTAAGAAATTGGTTACCACATAAGCTTCAGTGGATTTTACTACAGTAGAATAGATCAGGGGTCCCCAACTTCTGGTCGGTGGACTGGTATCAGGCTGCTGCATGCCAGAAACTGGGCTGTGTAAACAAGCGAAACCCCATCCGTGGGATGCAGGTAGCATGCGAAACCATGCCCCTTCCAGTCTGTGGAAAAAAAATCTCTCCACAGAACTGGTCCTTGGTGCCTAAAAGGTTTAGGGCTGCTGGAATAAATGAGAGAAACTGAGAATATATTATCTTTAACATGCCCCAAGTCCTGCTTTTCATTCATGTAGGAGATGGAACTGACTGGAATAAGCTCTGTGTTACTGTTGTTGCTGTTATTATTTTGAAAAAAGAGGTTTCCTTCAGAACTGTACCTTTATTCATGTTAAAATTCATGCAGTTTTAGTCGATACTTTAAATCAGAGGTCTTCAAACATGGCAACTTTAAGACTTGTGGACTTCAACTCCCAGAATTCTCCAATCAGCTATGCCACAAGTCTTGAAGTTGCCAAGTTTGGGGACCCCAGCTTTAAATTATAATATAACTGACTATTATCTTGATTTGTATTTGTATATTTTGCTGTTGTAGTTTTAAGATAAAAAAACTTCAAAATCGGGAACTATTGTATATACATCTGTAAATCTATTCACTGCCTTAATATTCACAAGAAACTGAGATGCTTACTTGTGTTGCAGTATTTTAATAAAAAAGCAATGATCATTAAAGGACACATTATTGTGGTGTATTTATTTAAAGCTGAGTGTTTATTTTTAGTCTTGGTATGATATATACTACTGTACAGTTGTTACTATGAAGTGACAATCTTTTTTTTAAGTCTTCCATTTATTTCTTCAGCTCTCATTCATTAATTCTTAAAAATGGCTGATCTCTGAAGAATGCTTACTACAAGAGGCTGGCTAATATAGTTTCTACTTGATGGTCTTTCTATTCCATGGATTATGAGTTAGATTCTAATTAAGGCTTCAGAAATCTAGAGTTTTCCCTTTACCCATCCAGAAAATGCTACAAAAAAACTTGGGGATCTTATGGGTTACATTTTCTTCTGTGTAGTTGCTCAGCTTAAATTGCATCCAAATCCTCTCTGCTCAGAGTTGACTGTAGTTTCCTAACAACAAAGGATTGAAGAAGGTTGCTTCATGTTATGAGTCTACTTTTACTTTTTTACCTTTTAATATCAGCTGGACATAAGAGTGGGTCAGACCAAGTACTTGCTTGCTTTTTATCAAGCATCGCCTGATTAAGGAATGATTATTTATTTATTTATCCATCACAGTCTTAGTCTGAATCATAGTTGTCGTCACTTCTGAAATGAAAGGGAGTTAATTGAAATTAGGACCATCATGGAGCCAAATGGTTAAAGTTACTTTTGTCCATATCATACTACCAATCTGAATGAGATCATTCTCTGCCTAGATGCTAAGTTACTGTGGGCTATGGCTCTTTTGAGAATTGCTACTTGTTGTATAATGTTGCAAATTATATTTATGCTTGCCAATATCTGACAGTTAATGCAATAGTTGAAACAACGTTTGCTTTAGGTCACCTTAGTCTGAACTTTTTATAGGAATTTATGATGGAGCTGACAGCACATCAGAGCAGCGTGGGCAGCGTGCTTCAGGCTGGTAATCAACTGATAGCCCAGGGCAATATTTCAGTAGAGGAAGAAAATGAAATCCAGGAACAAATGATCTTGTTAAATTCTAGATGGGAAAGCCTCAGAGTGGACAGTATGGACCGCCAATCCTAGTAAGTGGCATGATTTACACATGTTTTATACACATGGTTTAGTTTCCAGTTGTGATGATATATTAAGCTCTTTTCTCAGTGTTTAAGGCTAAACATTTTTTTAATGTTGATGTTTTTGAAGAGTCATCTAAATCAGGGGCCTCCAATGTTGGCCACTTTAAGCCTGGTGGACTTCAACTCCCAGAATTCCTCAGCCAGCTTTTAAAGTGGTCAAGGTTGGAGACCCCTGATCTAAATCATCTTTGCAAAGAGGAAAATGAATATTGAGTTGGATCTGTTTGAAAATGTTTCAAATTGTTTGTCTGTCTATCTATCTCCACATGCACATGTGCATGCATACATACATACATATATGCATACAGTATATTGGTATACATTTAAAAACTTATTTTGGTTTCTAAGTTGAATATCATACTAACATTAAACATAGAACCAGTTGCTCTTGAAAATAAACAAAGGTCTATCATATCAGTGAATCATTCCTTTCAATTGCCCTGTTGACTAAATCTCGCAGTAAACCTGAAACATGAATCTGTTAAGTTGAAGTTTGATGTCCAAGGCAATTTGGCTAAAACACTATTTGGCAATAATTGTTCGTTGATAGCACAGATCTGTAGCATACAACCCTCCCACCCCATGATTGAGTTTCTGGTTTAGATTTAACATTTTCCACAAATTAACGAATATGTCTCAAGCTGTATGTCAGATAAGGATTTGAGGTAACAAAAAGGAGTACTGTGTAACACATGTTTTAAGCATATGATCCAAGCCCCATGATCATGCTATAGAGGAGAGAACAAAGCAAAAAGCATGTGAGCTAAACTAAGCCACAACGTCATGACATGGAGGATAGAGGAGAGCATAAAAAAGCAAAGTTTTATAGCTTACTATTAGAACATTTTGTCTGGAAGACAATTCATTTCCACTTCTGATTGAAAATTTAAAACTATCCCAAGATATTTTTTGAAAGGAACTTTTTTATTAGGATAGTTCCTAATGTCAGAGGATAGATTACAATTCAACACAATTTAATAAATCCTAATTTTAAGTAGTTATTTACAGAATTGGTTGATTAGTTGATAATTTCATTTATTTACCATAAAATATATTTTGAAATTGGGCAAGTGAACATTATATTTGAATAATAAGAGTTTCTTCTTTCCCCCTGCAGCAGGGATCCCTCAACAACTTTGTAGAATAAGTTTGGGACAGATTCTGTCCCAAGCTAAATAGAATTTGCTTTCAGTCATGGTGTTTGTGATATAACATAGTTAGACAAAAGGCTTGATCAGCATGCTTAGTAATTTATTCCACAGAAAGCTAGGATCACCAAGTTGCCTATTTACTTTATGATTACACTTAGGCAGAACCTGTGAACTCAGGACTCTGGGTGAATTACTCCTGTTTTTTTTTTGGCAGCCTCCATGATGCGCTGATGGAGCTACAGAAAAGTCAATTGCAGCAGCTGTCTGACTGGTTGACTGTTACAGAGGAACGCATTCGAAAGATGGAATCTCAGTGCTTAGTTGAAGACTTGGAGACCTTTCAACAACAGATGGATGAACATAAAGTATGCTTACCTCTTTCTATCATGCAAACAATGGGGAAAACCCTCTCACACTTTAATTTCTTGGTTGTAACTAAATGAGAATTGTTATATTTTAAAATAAGTCCTGGATTCCCTTATGCCAGGGATCTCCAAATCTCCTGGCTGGCTGGGGAATTCTGGGAGTTGAAGTCTACAAGTCTTAATGTTGCCAAGTTTGAGGACCCTTGCCTTATGCCATAATATCATGCTGTGGTTAATGGGATTCAGCAGCATTATTTGTCTGGAATCTTACACTGTCACTTGATTTCTTTTCTGTGTGTGTGTGTGTGTGTGTGTGTGTGTGTGTGTGTGTGTTTGTGTGTGTGTATAAAAAATTCATATGTGATATGATACAATGCATACCTTTTCCTTGAAGAAAGACTTCTGTTGAAGAGAAATAGCATTTTCTGATCATTTAGAACAGGGGTGTCAAACTTGATTTCATTGAGGGCCACATCAGGGTTGTGTTTGACTGGGGGGGGAGGGGCAGGATGGGCATGGTCAGGGTGGGCATGGCCAGGTCAGCGTCACTTATGTCGGAGACATATGTTGTGGCCCGAGCACTCTGCCAGCAAACATGGGCTCCCAAGCTGTTTTTGACTGGGACAGCCTCCTGCAACCCAAATGCCAGCGAAAACAGCTCGGAAGGGCTGCGTCCATTTTCGCTGGCAGAGACACCACGAACAGCCCTGCAGATCAGATCTAAGCACCCCATGGGCCGAATCCAGCTGGCGGGCCTTGAGTTTGACATCCCTAATTTAGAATGTTGCCCCTAAGAAAATGTGGCCTCCATTCTGTTCTCTGAACTTTCGCTGCATCTGACCTTTGTAACATTGGAATTCATTCTTTCAGGAGCTCCAAAAAGGTATTGAAGCAGAACAGGTTAAAGTCAATTCCTTGACTCACATGGTGGTCATTGTTGATGAAAATAGTGGTGAGAGTGCTACGGTTCTCTTGGAGGATCAATTGCAAGTGAGTGGGTGTTATTATTATTTTTATTATATTGTGTAACCCATACTGGTCATTCTGAATGGAGTCATGAAAGTGAATGCTTTCAAAAATGTTTTATGTGTATATTGGTTAGATTTATATCCTGCCTTTTCTAGGAGGTCAGAGTGGCTTGCATGGAAAACCATCTTCATTTCTATTGTTACAAATACAACCTGCTTGGCTTGAGAGTGACTACCCTGAAGTCACCCAGTGGATGTTCAGATTTGAATCTGGATCTCCCTGAAACATTTGCTTGTCATCTTAGTGTCACAAAATCTAATAAATAGTAACAATAGATGTTATAGTGGTTATGTAGTCAATTAATTATGTTGATTGTTTGTACTGTCTCAATTGTCTGTACTTATCCCATCTGGTCTGGCAGGAGGGGCATGCTCCAGGAGGTCATGTTGGCTAAGGAATGGTGGCAGGTGGGGCCCAGCCAAAAGACGGCCTTTTCTGTCCACTGCTTGTCCTGTGGAACAGTGTGCCGCCAGAGAATAAGTGGGCCCTTACCCTGCTGGCCTTTCATAAGGACTATTTAAAGAAAATTCTAGTTATCCAGGATGTTTAGAAGTTCATTTAAGTATAAGCTGAATATTTACTTGTGAAAATTAAAAAAAAAACACTTCATGAATGAATGCGCATGTGCGCGCGCACACAAACACACACACACCACACATGCTGGATAGTGTTTAGAATGGCAGCCAAATTAAACATTGTTTATTTTGAAAGGGTATGATGTGATGGATATGTATCAAATGTGGTTGTGAAGTTTCCAGATGTTGGTCAACATTGAACAAAAAATAAAAAAGAAAAGAAAAAAGGATTACTGTAGCACTGAGAAGATATCCAGATTAGAATGGGAAAAGATGATTGGCACATTCAGAAACACTTGAGTAGCAGCTGTCAGCAATTATTTCAGGAAATTGCGTCTTTTTGCAGGATTGTATATGTAGTGTGATCTGAGAAAAAACAAGTTGGTTCAGGAAGATGCTGACAGGTGTGTGCTAAATACCCTTCAGAAGCCCTTTAAAAAGTTGCACAGCTCAATTTTACTGTATTTCAATCCTGTTGAGATTAAATAAGTGTCCATAAATCTAGATTCTGTCCAATTAGCTTAGACTGATTATTAGAATCTTCCAAACATAGCAGTCCTATTAAAAGGTACAGTTTTATTTCTTAGATTTGATCTTAATTGAAAGGCCATTCCAAAGTAAGCATTTTGGGATAAAAATAATACAAAAGGCTAAGCAGTTGTGATTCCATTAATTTTGATTTTCTGTCCGCTTTTAGAGGAAATGTTATGATATCAGACTTTTTTTGGTGTTATTTCCAGACACTTGGTGAACGCTGGACTGCAGTTTGCCGTTGGACTGAGGAACAATGGCTCAAATTGCAAGAGATTAATACCTTGTGGCAAGAATTGTTGGAAGAACAGGTGAGTGATGGTAATCCCACCGATTCCTGCTTCTGTCTTTGAGTGAGTCCTGAGGAGTGGCCTGCACCTTCCCTTATGGCAGGAAAATGGCTGCTGTTGGGAAGTGAGGAAGTGAATAATTGTGCAAGTGGCCAGAAAGCTGTAGGTGAATATTAAGAGAATAACACAAGAACATAGTTGGAAGGGACCTTGGAGGTCTTCTAGTCCAACCCCTTGTTCAAGCAGGAAATCCTATACCATTTCAGACAAATGGTTGTCCAATTGTTGAAAATGAAGGTCACATGTCTGCAGCAATGTGGCAGTGGCTCTGAAGCAGCAGTTGCCTGACTATACCGAAACTGTCACAACTTCCCCAAATTTCATTCCTTCAGGAATAATGAGTCCAGGCCAGATATGCTATTCAGCAGGTTCTGACCAGTTCTGGAGAACCGGTAGCAGAAATTTTGAGTAGTTTGTTGAACCTGCAAATACCACCTCTGACTGGAGATTTTACAGTATCCTTCCCCTGCCACACCCACCAAGCCACGCCTACAGAACCAGTAGTAAAAAAATTTGAATCCCACCACTGATCCAGGCGTTCTATAAGCTAGCCTATTTGAGGTATCGTAATTGAAAAATTTTGCCCTCTGATGCATTGATTTGCCCAGTTAAAGGTTACAGACCTAAGAATTTTAGCAGTATATGGATTCTCTCCATTACAAAAATCTGAAAAGGGAATTGATTTCCTTTCATATTTTAATCCTATTTTCTTTTATTTCCTGAAGTGATGCCATTATTCAGGTATAAAATTAAGCTGTAGTTTTCATCTGAACCAGACAAAAAGCATCTATTATGTCAAAGATGAACTTTTAACTCTCCAAGGTGATAGGAAACCTATTTTTATTCTCTAAAAAACTTAATTGGTTTTCAGGTCCTAGTTCATTTTTGATATAATTTTTTTTTTAAAAAAGAATGGCATTGTTAAGACTCATTAGAACAAATGGGGGTTAAACAGTACAGCCAGTTTTCAAAAACATTTATATGTAAGGATGTTTTAATAAATGATGTATTTTTCCCTCAAAACCAGAGGTGCTATTCAGCCGGTTCGCACCTACTCGGGCGAACCGGTAGCAAGAATTTGGCGTGGGTCGCCGAACTGGTAGCAACATCTAGCTGGCCACGCCCCCAATCCAGTCGCTCAGTTTCTGCTCACTCGCTTGCCCCGCCCACCCGATGCTCGCTGCCCCAGTTTAAAGGAGGACTGCTCCCCCGCCCTAGCCATGCATTTTCAAGCAGCCACTTGAAAACACATGACTGTGGGCGGAGCAACGGTCCGTTAACCTGCAAAACTGTTCCAATGCTGGATTCTTCATGGATACTAGAAGTATCACTTCCCCTTGTGAGTAAAGTGCTTGGAGCGAGAGGGAAAGAACACTGGGTGTGGGGGTGGAATCCAGCCATGGGGAAGTTTGCAGGAGCTTCAAATGCAAGTCCGTTTACCTGCAGAACTTCTCTAATGCTGGATTCACTTCCTCTTGTGAGTAAAGTGCCTGGAGCGAGAGGGAATGAAGGCTGACAGGTGTGTGTGTGTGTGTGAGAGAGAGAGAGAGAGAGAGAAGAAAGAAAGAGAAAGAAAGAAGAAAGAAAGAAAGAAAGAAAGAAAGAAAGAAAGAAAGAAAGAAAG